GCTTTTAGAGAATCTAACTTGTGTCAAATTGATAAAATTAAAAAAAACAAACAAACCCAAATATCCAACCAGCATGTATTCCTAGTATTTTTAGGGCTTTATCATGAAAGGACATTGGCCTTTGTCACAGGTCTTTTTTTCATTCATTGGGGGTAATCATGTGATTGGTATACCTAAATATGTGTATGTGCTATGTTACATTTATTGATTTGCATATGTTGAAACATACTTTCATCCTTGGGATAAAGCTAACTTGATTGTGGTATATGATTTTTTCAATGTGTTGTCAAATTTGACTTGCAAGTATTTTGTTGAAAACTTTGAATTTACATTCATCAGGAAAATGATCTATATGTTTCTTTTTCATCCATCATTTATTAATTATTTTAGAAATTTATAGAACTGGTTTGGTAGTGTTCCTTCCTTCTCAACTGTGGGACTTTTCTTAAAATATATATATATATATATGTATATATATATATACATATATATATATATATGTATATATATATATATATTAGAATTTCATATGTGATTACTATACTTACATCATTTCTAATTCTCTCACTCCATTACCCAACTCCTCCCAGCTCTTCTCCTCAAATTCGTAAATTTTTCTTTAACTTTCACTGTAGACATATATAGAACTATACATATAAACACACATACTCACACATCCTTAAGTGCAGAAGCTGTTTACTTACGTGATGCCATCTGCATAGAATACAAGACCAATGACCTTCTCACTGGCAGAGGTTCTGTGGCTGTTATAGACAGGTACATTCCTTTCTGCCATTTGTTAGTCACTCCAAGTAAGCAACTTCCTATATAGTTGAAGATGACTTCTGATGAAGCTGTGAGTCCACTTAACATTTGTTGCTCAAATGTATATGTGTTTATGGCTGACCACAAGGAATTGGATCATCTGTCATCCTTTGGGAAGACTGATTCTCTTTCCTCAGCAGCCATTAGTTGCCTGTAGCTCTTCATTTAGGGATGGGGTCTTGTGAGACTTCTCGCATCCATATTGGCATGTCGATCGAGTTGTCATTGTGAAGGTCTTGTTTGGGTGACTGTATACTTGAGATTTCATTTCTGAAGCTTTTCTGTCATTTGTAGATAACATTATGTCCCAATAAATAACATGGTCCTCTGCCTCTTACAGTTTTTGTGCCCCCTCTACCACGATGTTCCCTGACCCTTAAGTGTAAATATTGTATATTTATCAGTTAGAGTTGATACTCACAACTGTCTATTATTCTCTGCACTTAACCAGTTGCAGATTTATGTGATAGCCTTTGTCGGTTGCAAAAACCAGTTTGTATGATGAGGAGGGAGAGATACTCTTATCTCTGGGTATAAGAATAAGTTTTTGGGCATGTAGTTAGAAATTGTGAGGGTTTAGGAAAGTGGCAGCGGTGGGTTCATGACTTCACCAGACATAGGTAGTTTGTAATACCAGACATGAATTCCCTCCTATTGAATGAGACTTAAGTACAGTTAGACAGCTGTGGGTTAACCCCAACATGTAAATGCTATCATTGCCCCACTGGGCACATCTTGCCATGTTGCTGTGGTTGGCGGGCTTTACAGCTGTGTAGGACTGTTGATTTCTTTTCTCCCTTGGTAGCTTGCATAGCATCTTTGGATACTATGAGAGCTAGTCCTCAGGAAGGAGGTTTTCGGGTCAGTTATGGAATATTTTGGGGAATGCTGTGTTAGCTCTTCTATCACAATGTGGCAGAACTTAGCAGTAATGCACCCATTTCTAAAATTGCCTTTGTTGGGAGACTAATACTTCTTCAATATTAATGTTTGTCAAATATCCAGCTGAAAGGCTTATTTTTGCTTGATTTAATTTTAGAGGAGTCTAGAACTTTATCAGTTTATTATAGATTTTCCAGCTTTTTGGAATTTCCTACAATGCATTTTGATCATATGGAGAAGACACGGTGGCAGGGACATGAGGAACCTGGTCACATTGTTTCTGTGGTCATGAGACAGAGAGAAATGAATGCTGGTGCTCAGCTCACTTTCTTCTTTTCATTCAGTTCTGAGTCCCACACCATGGATTGATAGTGCTACACTCACATTAAGGCTTCTCTGTTAGAATTTTGTGGAAAGACCTTCATAGATGTGCCATGAGTTATGTTTTCATGATGATTCTACATTTAGCCAAATTGACATCTTTCTAGGTAAAGATGAGTTTTCCCCAGAAAATTAAAGTTCCTTGGGTATAAGATGTTAATTTGAGTCAAGCAACTTAATAAACACAGTAGTAAAAAGAGGTAAGCTGCTTTTCTACTTGAAGGCTTCAAATTTTCTAGCAGAACCATAAAGAACATTTTCCTTAGTGCATCTCTGAGCAAGATGCTTTTACTGAAGTTATATTCCTGTCTCTATACCTCAGTGATAATATACCTCATCCATAGTTTCAGTTCCTCTTATTTTATGTTATAGACTACAGAGAGATTAAAAAATGTACAATATTACAGTTCTACTGCCCTAGACTGCAAGGAGACTTTTCTTAATGAAAGACTTGGGGTGGCAAGAGTTGTGCATTTCAATTCTTGTTAAGAATTTTCAAAATGGGGAGAAATATATGCCCTTGAAAATTAATTCCCATTATTTCTTAGAAAAGTTACTGACTGAAATGGGGAAGATTCTGAGTGGACTCTAAGAGTTGAGAAGCAATGATTAGACATGGCTTGACCTTTAATATTTCATATTTGTCTCTCTTATCTTAAAAAGACTTTCCATAGGATTTTCTGGCGTTTTTGATGCATGTCCAAGACACACTGTGACTCCTGTGTCTACCCATGGACTTGCTAAAAGAACCCAGTGTTGTTTCAAAAGCAAATTTGCTGCTGTTTGTTATCAAGTCATTTTAGCGGTGGACAGGAGACATTCAGACAGATTCCCCACATCAAAATTAAAACTTCCATCTGGGGATTGAAATATCATAAAACTTATAAAAATATGACTTTCATTGTTTGTTCACATCTGCAGCGTAAAGCAGTCTGGCTTTGTAGATTTTTAATTCACATTATATGTCTTAGAAACATGGAACCAGTGCTATGGAGTCTTTGTGGTAAAGATGATGCAGAACCAGAAAGATGCTGGGTTCTGTCGTATATCTTTATCATTTCCTGTATATGAAGTCATGGTTTTCCATTTAGCGGAACACCTTTCAACACTGTTATTTCCCACCTTTTTTTCTAATGACATAAGAAGGCATTTTCATAACAGGCAAGGGTGAATTTCAGATTGAGTTGGCCTTTTTACTCCTGAATGACCTCACTTGGCTCTTCCCTGGATCTAGTATCGCATCTGCAAAGTAGTGGGTAAGCTATTATGTTCCCAGAGACAGGATTCCACATAACTGAAAGGAGCTAAGCACTTTATCTCTCACCGGATTGTGAGGAGTAAGGGATGCAGAGGAAACACAAGGAAGGGATGCATAAATAGAATGTGCATCAGATTTTGTAGCATGAGCATTTTAAAAGTATATTCTATGTAAATGTTGTTCTTGGAGCTTGAAGTATTTGTGGTGTTTGCTTGAGCGTGATGCCATCTGCATAGAATACAAGACCAATGACTTTCTCACTGGCAGAGGTTCTGTGGCTGTTACAGACAGGTACATTCCTTTCTGCCATTTGTTAGACGCTCCAAGTAAGCAGCAGGTCTATAGGCTTAGGATAACGAGAACAGTAAGAAATTAAAAATTGCTTACATTTTTGTTACTTAGTTTTTGGGACAGAGTCTCACGTATCCCATGCTGGCCTCAAACTTCCTATATAGTTGAAGATGACTTCTGATTTTACTTCCTGCACCTCCCGAGAGCTGGGATTGCAGGCACATGGCACTATGCCTGGAGTGTGCTGCTAATTCAGCCACATCCACTAAATGACAACCATTTAATTTGGAAACTAAGTAAGAGAGAGAATCTTAGCTCAGTATTTGGAAATAAGTTTATTCAAAATATGAGCCATTAAATGACCATAGGTGATATAATTGAAATATAATTATGTTGCCTAGCTTTGGAGTTAACTGTCAAAAATTGCTTTAAATTATTGACATTCAAAGATATTGGGCAAATTCAGTTGGTATTGCTGATTATTTAAGAATATCACCACAAATTCATTTTTAAGCTCTTAAGAATAAATAATGTCCACTATACACATGAACTTTAGTATAATTTGGATATAGATTAATTGCCATGGTACTAGAAAAAATTGTTATCTGTTTCTGAGTGTCATCACAAGGGACCAAGGTGACCATGGCATCTAGTGGAAACCAAGGAGACAGCTGAGCATCCAACAGTAGTTCTCAGTGATGCCAACATTAAGTTAGATCTCCAGGCCACTCTGACCTGAGTCTCTATGTATTCCAAAGGAAACAATCATGCCATGATATTCTCTCTGACCCTAATCCAAGCCCCAACCCCACTGGGCTTTTCCTACAAAAGCCTGGATGCAGCTTTCTTCTCAAATGGTGCAATGACATTTGATAGACATGAAGTTATTTCCACTTGTCTCTTCAAGAATAAAATACAATCCTAGGAAATGATTTCTTTGTTCTAAAGGTCATGGGGACCTTGGTCTTCTCTTTGACAGTCAATAACCACGAGTGCTTTGCAAAAGCTAGTACATTTAGATGTTTCATAAGCCTAATGGAGCAATCAGAAATTGTACCTTTCATGTCTTATTTATTTCACATTTAAACACATTCTGAAGACAGGGGAAAAGTTGGCTTGCATTAACAGCTATGTCATTTTAAGACTTCTGACAATGTGAGAGTCCTTCCAGCCACCAGCAAGTGGCTCCATTTAGCTTACATTTCAAACTTGTGGCAGGAATAGGTACTCAACCCTGGTAACTATTTGGGGAATTCTGAAGGTTATTAAGTTCTGAATAACAGTCACTCATGCTTTCCCACCAAGCTTTTCTCAGCAGTTGAATATCTCTGGATCTTATTTTGGTTTTTCGTTCTTTTTTTAGCTGCCTGAAATGACTCATGTTCAAACACAACGACCCTGGATGACGTTTCTCCTGCAGAACATTGGATTGATCCTAGGCTGGCTTTCTCTTTTGCTCTTAGCTGTATATGAACAGAATATTAGAATATAAGTTAAGATTCTCCAATATCTTACAAAATGAATTTATCCAGTCCTATCTCATTTCTTCCATGTACTCTATGCTGATCACTAAATTTGGTATTTTTATTTTAGGCAAAGAATCTGTCTTTTATCTTAACTTGCTGATTATCTATTGTAATTTTTTAGAATTATATAAAGGTTGAGTCTGTCTTGCATTGAAATGTTTAATTTTGTTTCTGACACTGTGGTGGACCACAGTAATGGTTAATGTTAGTAAATTCTGAATTCTAGTCAACTGCAAAGATATTATTTCTCTAAGAAGAATGTTTATTTGTTGTATTTGAAGCATACAGGTGCCCTTTGGGATAAAAATCAGCTGTAGCAGTCTTGTGGGGTTTTTTTTATGTTAATAATACATTTGTGATTTATAGACCATAAGCAAATAGGAGAATAGAAATATAATAAAGGCTAGTTTTAATGTGGTGGTTTCAATTAGCTTCTGTTGCTTTCTATACAAATCCTGTCTTTCAAGCTGCTATAGTGTGTTCACCTGGAAGAATCAAGGCCTGTTATCAGCGGTAGATATGAATAAACAATTTGGGAAGCTCAAAAGATATAGTAGGATGTCTACCTGTTCTCCTGTAAAAGTCAGCACACATCTGTTCAAGGCAAGAATTGTTGGATGTTCCCGAATCAATAAGGTAACAAAGAGTCAGGCAGGAATCCAATGACTCGGCTCTCATAGGTTATATAATAGGCTGTGTGTGTGTGTGTGTGTGTGTGTGTGTGTGTGTGTGTGTGTGTGTGTTTGTGTGTGTGTATGCATGTAATCTTACTGATGAGTTATATGTTTGCATTGTCTCTGGGGTCACTTTAAATGGGATATCAGTAGGTGAATTCATGAACAAGGAACATTACTGGTAACCTAGAATATTATTAAAATAGAAAACAACTCAAGCTTTAATAACATTGTCCTTTGGAACATGGTGCCTACTGTTTTTCTTAGAGTTTAATGATGGGTCTTGACAAGGGAAAAGGTTGTTTTATTATAATTGTGACTCACGGCACTCAGTTATGTATCTCTCCTACCTCTTACTCACCAACTGGTGAAAGTTCTTTGTCATGCCCCAACCCAAACATAATCTTTTAAAACTACTTTGATTTCAAAATGAAGTGGACTTCTCCATCTGTCTTTGTACTTGCCTAGAGACTCTGGGTTATTGTGTATGAGAACTCAGTGTACACCAGAAACAGCTAAGGACTTTGCTATAGAGAGCACAGATGACTGGCTTCATCAGAACCTCTGACTCTAGGGGTCTGAGAGAGTCCTGAGTCCTTGACTGAGAACTTTCAGGCATTGAAAGCAGCTGGCTGTGGCCAGACTCTGAATGCCACTGACAAAAGAAATCACATGGACCTGGCTTTGAGAACAGAGCACAGGCCTATTACCCAAGAGCTGTGTGCTTCTGACTAAGTTGGTTAACACTTCTGTTCTTTGATATTTTTCCTCCAAGGGAAGCACAGAGAGCCTCAGCCTTCTGATTGTAGAGAGTAAGCTAAACTGAACAAACACTCCTTTGTACAGGCCATCCTAGGGGAGAAGCTGCAAATGAGAAGTACCAGACACTATCTGTGTTTGTGTTTTAATGTCCAGGTTCTGATTTGGACATGTAGCCATCATTTAGGCTAACTTAATTGGAAGAGCTCTGATGGATGACTGTGGTTCTGGTCCAAGGTTAGAGAAGCCTTGGCTAAATTAAAATTTGAGATGTGAGCTGTGTACTCTATAACCTTCAAATGAGAGTAATTTTGATACCAGTGGAGTTGGAATCGGTGTGCAGAGGGGCTTGAGTGGAGCCAGCTATCAGGACACATTCTGAGTACTTCGCAAGCTTATCACTTGTGTTCTCTGATTGGGAGCAGAGACCTGGCCACTCAGAGGTCATCCTAAGGATAGTAGGATGTAGTAGCTTTTGAGGGCACCTTTTTGGGTTCCCCTTTTCTCCCCTTCACCTTATCATTGATTTGTTGATAATCAAAGTGTGTTCCAGACAGCATACCCTAAGTAATCTTAGAGTTGCTAAGCCGGGCCAGGGTGGTGACTCAGTGTAAAAAGCACTTGCCACATAAGCCTGATAACCTGAGATAGACCCCAAACCACACATAAAAGGTCAGATATGGTGGCCTGTACCTGCAATCCCAGCCCTCATGCAGCAAGATGGGAGACAGAGACAGGAGAACTGACTTCACATTCATGGGCCATCTAGCCTGGAGTGACAGACAAGTGGGGTTGGGCCTCAAAGCCAAATGGAAGAACAGAAACAATTCCCAAAATTTGTTCTCTGGTCTCTTTATGTGTAATGTGGCAACTATGTACCAATATTCGCATATACTGTTTTTTTTTTACTAAAATGTTTCTAGTCTTCAAAATTGAGTGATAATAATAAAAATAAGATGACAGTTCTATACCCTCTAAAAATGAACCAAGTCTAAATTTGGGGTGGGCTGACAGTGGTTCCCTTTAGGCTAAATATACTTTATATGCCTTAAACGCAGATTTTTCAATAATATTGGGGTGTGTCTGTTTCCTAGGACTCAATTTAGGTTTCTACTGTATTTCTGCTGGCGATTTGTTTACTTCTTCTTCCTCTTTCTCCTCCTCTTCCTCCTTCCTCCTTTTCTTGTTCTTTTTCATAAATCACTGGACTAGAAATGTTGCTGGGGAAAAATGAGAGCGGACTATGTAGTTTTCGTATTTGAGCATCTATCATCTACTGACAGGTCTGTTTTTAGAGACAGAGGAATTGGCCCATGCAAAGTCTGGGAAAGATGGCTTCGCTGTTGAAGGCTGAGGAGACCATAGTCTTAGGTAAAAGCGTCTGTGAACTGTGGCCACTCCCAACCGTCCTGCCACCTTCCCGGTTTGCAGGTGAGACTTTGTATCTCTTTTTGAGACTCATTTCTCAAGACACAGCACAGTTACGATATTGTTTCTTTTTTGGACTGAAGATAAAGGTCATGGTCACAGGATGCTAATTACTAAGGTTATTTTGGGCTCATCAATTGAGTCATTAAGAACGGTGTCAAAGTGAGATCTAGGTTCAAATCTCGGCCATACTGCTTGAAACAACAATTTCTTTTTTTCCCCCCCATGAAATAAGGTTGTGGTGATGTTAGTATAGAATACTGCTTGTGAAACACTTTGCACAGAGCCTGCAAAAATATTAATAATGATTAAAAACACCCCTCCTCCTTGATACTTTGTTTTCCTGATAGCTTCTACTCTTTCTCAGCTCTGTACCCTTCACCAAGAAAGTACTGTTTTGTTGGTGTAGAATGGAGATTGAACCTTTCTGTATACCTGTGCCCCTGGGCTAGAGGCTCCACAGTAGAGAGCTTGTTTGCTTAGCATGAAGAAGCCCCCAAGTCCAATCCTCAACATTGAGGAAAAAATATTAAAAATCTGTATCCATCTATAATTCTCTTTAAAGCCTCCAAGCCAACTTCCCCTAGGGAGCCAATACCATCCTGAATGTGTGTGTGTGTGTGTGTGTGTGTGTGTGTGTGTGTGTGTGTGTGTGTGTTTCGCTTTGACTCGCTTCTAGAGAATGGATGGGGCCTCCTTTGGCTTACCCTACTCTGCCCAGCCTCCCAGGCAGGCTCCATCCTGTGTCATAGTACTTACGCTCAGCAGGCATCCCCTTAACATATTCTTTCTCTCTCACAATAAGTGAGAATCTATTATGCTTCCCTGCAGTTATACTTCTGAGGGTGAATAATGGAACCTGGCTGAGAAGAACATGTGTGAGGTCATGGCTGTTGTCACGACTTGATTTTGACTGAAGGAAAACAAAACTAAACAAACAAAAAAAAAATAGTTAAACTGAACCTCCCTGTTCCAACGCACCTGCTGATGGGATGAAGCCAGCCCCCAAAAGAAGCAGGAAAGCAGGGCATTGGCTTGCTGGAGGCCTGCTCTGTTTAGATAAGGCAGTTTCCTCAAGCTGAGTGTACAAACAGTCTGCACTCCTAGGAGAGGCACCCTGGGCTTCAGGGGCTGAACATACCCCAAGCCAACATCCTTTAGTGTGGGGTAATAAACCTTAGGTTGTCATTTACCTTTTAAAATGCAAATGGAATGTAGGAGAAGTTTTGAGAGGCCAAGTGGAGACCCTAAGCCAGGAGGGGCCTTAACCCCCACACCAGAATGTCTTTAAATGATCTATTCAATATATCCAGCCCAGTGTTCTTGTCCCCAAGATGGATTATCTGCTTCACAAGACCTTCCCCACATGCTGTCAGCCCACATTGCAAATCTGTAAATTCCTGATGCTTCTCTGTCTTTGTTATGTTAAACCTCTCCACATTCCTAATCATGCTGAAATATGACTGTGTGGTGTGTGTGCGCGTGCGCAATATACATATAAGAATGCAAAATAAAACAAAGCAGGGATGTAGTTATAAAGGTCAAGGTCCAGGACTCCAGGCTAAAAGCTGAGATTTAAGCATGGGATTAAACCTTCTCCCCCACACAGTACAGTACAGTGCAGTCCCCATAGAATCAGAAGGGAATGCAACTGAAAATCTCACAGTGCCGAAGACTCTCCAGGGAAAGCCAGAATATGGGAGACAAGAATAACTTAGGAGATGCTCTGACTGCAGAGATGGCAGGGAGTACACAAAGCATAACTTGTGGCCGGATCATCACAAAACCCTGCTAAAGGTCTATTCATGTCACGTCCTTTTATACAGTAGGACATGTTGGCTCTCCTCAAAAAATGACAAGACAATCAGCAAGACAAGAGAGTGTAGGTAGAAAGACAGCGCAAGCATCATCACCAGACTCAAGAGGCAAAGAGATGTTGGAGTTATCAGACTGGGGACATAAACAGGTGTGGTTAATAGGATAAAGCTTATGGTGCAGAAATGGGCCATCTTTAAAGCAGAGAGGAGATGCCATTAAAGGTGGTGGCGCACGCCTTTAATCCCAGCACACGGGAGGCAGAGACAGGTGGATCTCTGAGTTTGAGGCCAGCCTGGTCTACAGAGAGGATTCCAGGACAGCCAGGGCTACACAGAGGAATAAAAAATAAATAAATAAATAAAAATTAAAAAAAAAGAAAAAAGAAAATGAAAAAAAAGAAAAAAGCAGAGAAGAATAATGTAGGCAGAAAAGACACTATGAAGAATAAATAACTAGACATGGAGGTTAGAGGTACACTCCTAGACTATGACTAGCACTAAGGAAGGAGCAATAGAAACATCACACGAGTTCAAGTCCAGCCCGGTTTACATAGTAGTAGAACAGTCAGCATTCAGTGTGTAACTCTTTCTCAAAAACGAGAGGAGGGGGTGATATGGTTATAAATCCTTAAGAGAGGAACCAGAAATGTGAAAAATACCTTGGGTGATTCTTTAAATCAACAAACATGTCCAGCCAAGGAGCCAGTCAACTTGAAGGAGTGTTCCTGAAAACATCCAGACCTGAATACAGAGAAAACTGGAAAACACAGGACAGAATGTTCCAGAGCTGTGGATCAATTAGGGAGGATGTGACATACAGGTAAAATCAGATGATGCAGGGGAGGGGAGAAAGGGAAGGAATGCAGAGGTGTTTGAAACAATGATGGTTTAGAAATAATAACACTCCAAGCCATGTGCTCCGGAAGATCAGAGAGCATCGAATGGGATGAATAACAATATAAAAATCTACACCTGGATGTGCTCTTTTCAAGCTGCAGGAAACCTAGACAGAAAATACAAGGAAAAAAGCCAGAGGCAAACTTAAAAAAAAATCTACATAAGAACAAAAAAAAAAGGATAGGAATTATCATCAGATTCTCTTCCGCATCCATGTGAAATAATGGATGGGCCAGGCCTTAACTCAGTGGTGGAGTACTTAAATGCATGAGACCCCAGGTTCAACCCCCAGTGCTGAGAAAGAATTAAGTAAAATATTTTATTATTTTAATGTAATGAGACAAGGTTTCCTTATAGCCCTGGTTGGCCTAGAATTCACTGTGTAGACCAGGCTGACCTTGAACTTACAGATATGTACTTGCAAAGACATGCACCACCATGCCACGTATTATACTTGAAAGGATAAAAACCCTCAACATATACTACTTCATCCAACAAAACTGTCCTCAAAAGTAAAGGAGAAATAAAAATTTCCAAAACAGGCATTGAGAGGATTCATTTTCCATGTACTCTTCCTGTAAGAAATCTTCAAACAGATTTTCAGGAAGAAACTGCTTTAGAGGCCAGAACTTGGATCTCCATCAACAATGAAAAATGTAGAGATGAAATGAATGAAAACACAGTGAAATCTTGTATTTTTGTACTTTTAATTGACTTTTGACATCTACTAAAATGATTCACCAAGCTTACATCTAAATAAAAAAATATACGAGGTTAAATCAATGTTACTAGGTTTTACCAAAACTTAAGGGCAGTGAGATGTTTTCAGTAGGTAAATGAATGAATAGACCCCGAGCTCGTCATCTGATTGAGTACAGTTGAGCAGAATGAATGGATGAGTTATCAGGGTTAGGGAAATAGGTTAATTGAAAAAGTGCTTGCTGTGTCAATATGACGGCCTGAGTCCGGAGCTCCGGCACCCATGTAAATGTTGGGTGGATGTGGAAGTGCCCTTGTCATCCAGTATTCAAGAGAGAGAGAAGGGATACCTGATAAGCTGGTCCCAAATATAAAAATGGTTAAATTAATGAACTCTGGGTTCAAGTGACTCTCAATAAATATGGTACAACTTAATGTTGGTAAAAATCCTTTGAAGAGACCTGTAACATCAATCTTCAAAGGTCTCATAATAAAAAACCTGGAGCCAGATATTGGTGTGAAAGCTGAAAGATCAGAGAAGCAAGGCAAGCCAGCTTCTACCTCTATGAAATCCCCAGTCTAAAGAGAGTGAGTTCCCGTTTCCTCAGGCCTTATATACTTTTCTCTGCCCAGACATCACTTCCTGGGATTAAAGGTGTGTGCCATTACTGCCTGGCTCTGTTTCCAGTATGGCCTTGAACTCACAGAAATCCAGATGGATCTCTGCCTTCAGAGTGATAGGATTAAGGGTGTGTGCCACCACTGCCTGACCTCGATGTCTAATCTAGTGGCTGGCTCTGTCCTCTGATCCTCTGGCAAGCTTTATTGAGGTACACAATATATCACCACAGAGACCACATAAAGTAAAGTCTTTCTGGTTATGATTTTGATGTTTTTGCAAAGAAGTGTGTGTAAAGGCATATGTAGAAGTTGGATTTAAATAATAATGACTAGTAAAGATTATTTATTGAATATTTGTATGGTGCTCACTAAGTGCTTTATCTTTGTTATCTCATTGGTTACTTAAGTCCCACACAAAATACTTTCGAAATGAGCGGCTTGAGTCAGAACAGTTCAGAAACTTTACAAGGACAAGACAATAAGGACAAGGCATTGCCAATATGATTCTGTTATCCCAAATGTCTTCTGCCCGACACCAGGTAAGAGTGAAGGGAAGTGAAGGAGACAGTTTGTACCTGCTTCCTGGAAGTGTACAAGTTACTTTAGTATGGGAAGGTCCCCCAGATGGGGAGGCTATTAAAGAGAAGGGAGCTGGGAAACTTCTAAGACACCAAACATCTGAGAACAGATATTGCTGTAAGAGGGGCAGATTGGAGAATGAAAATGTTTTTGCCCTACAAAGATGCAAACTTTGTTCTACATACAGTTCAGGAAAGGGAAGCATTTTCCCATGTATTTTTGGAGCTGTTTGGGATTTGCCAACCGTATGTGAGTTGGCTCTTCTGAAATATTCACACTACTGTGTTAGCACTCAACAGAAACTCCAGAGTTAACTCTTGCTTGTCTTTGCTCCAGAATTAACTTTTTCATGTAAACATATGAATAATGTAACAAATATGCCAGCTGCCATACATCTTTGTTGTCCTGATAGTGAATGCAAAAATTAAGATAAACTATGTAGAAAACAAATCAGGTCACATAATTCTCCTAATCAAAACATCTTGTTTCTCTCCATTGCCTTCCAGACATACCCTTGTTGATTTACATGAAATCAAGACCGCATGTGAGTTACCTTCCAGATGCTCCTGGTGCATGTCCCATCGCCTTCCTTGTGTTTTGTGCTCCCACAAAATTGCATGCCTGTGTGTTTCCTTTGCATACCTGTGGCTTCTCACCTCTGTGTATTTGCCAAGGAGTCTTTTTGTTGGACATGATTTAGGCACATCCTCCTCTGGAAGTTCTCTGAACGTTGTAGGTCTCACCAAATACAGTAGGTTCATTTCACATGAGGACCTCCATCATGCTTTCCTTGCTCTACCATGTATCAATTTTTACACAGAGAACACATGGAACAACTGATACCTCCAGTTGCCAGCATGTTATTAATGTGGAAATCCAATAAAGTTTCTCAACACTGTATCATAAAATAAGTTTTGTGTCATATGGTTTTGCCTGCCTACATGCTGATTACCACTTGTTTAAGGGAGAGCTGCTTAGTGTCTGATGTTTGGTATGTGAGATGTGTTATATGTACTTTCAACGTATAATATTTTCAACTTAAGTAACCCGATTAAGTCGAGAAGAATCTGTAGTTATTTACCAGTACTATACTTCATTTATCAGTCCCAACCTTCATAGATTGGAAGCAGCAAGAGAATATGAGTTTTGAAGTATACCTGTTGTTGGTTGGTTTTTTTTAATCTTTGATCTTTTGGCTCTTTGAGGGGCCTGCCACCCAGCTCTCCAAATAAATTACACACAGAGTCTTATTCTTTCTTATGAATGTCTGGCCTTAGCTTGGCTTCTTGCTAGCTAGCTTTTCTTAAATTATCCCATCTATCTTTTGCCTCTGGACTTTTCCCTTTTCTTACTTCTGTATATCTTACTTTCACTATTATTCCATGGCTGGCTGTGTAGCTGGGTGGCTGGTTCCTTCTTTTCTCACTGCTTGATCTCTATTGCTCTTTCTACCTTTTCCTCCCAGATTTCTCTTTCCATTTATTCTCTCTGCCTGCTAGCCCCGCTTATCCTTTCTCATGCCTTACTATTGGTCATTCAGCTCTTTATTAGAGCAATCAGGTGTTCTAAACAGGCAAAGAATCACAGCTTCACAGAGTTAAACAAATGCAACATAAAGAGTGAAACACAACTTGGCATCATTTAACAAATGTTCCACAGCATAAACGAATGCAACGTGTCTTAAAATAATATTCTACAACCTGTGCCTCTGATATTGCCTATGTTGATTTGGGTAAATCTTTTAAGTTATCTGAGTCACACTACTCATCTTGGATATGGAACTTTCTAATTTGCAAAATTTATATGTGCAAGGAACATATGTTAGTCACCTTTTCATTGCTGTAACAAAATAATTAGAAGGACAACTTCCAGGGAGAAAGAATGACTTTGACTCACAGTTTTGGGGGCTCCAGTCCATGGCTGGTTCCATGACATGGGCATGACAAGGCAGAGTATAGAAGAAACATGTGGCAGTAGAGAACTGCTCACTGGGAGGCAGCCAGGAAGCAGGGAGAGCGAGAAAAGGTGCTAGGAGCTTGGCACGCCCTTCCAAGGCAAGCCCCCAGTGACCCACTTCCTCCAACTAGGCTCCGCTTCCTAATTTCCATCACCAACAAATGATGCCATTGGGTTGTGAATCTACCAGTGAGTTAGTCCACTGATTAGGTTAGAGCCATGATGATCCTTTCAGGTCCCAGTGCTCTGTCTCTGAACTCTGTACTGGGAACCAGGTCTTCAACACATGAACTTCTGGAAGTCATGTCACATCCATACCCTAACAGAATCTACCATGGCTTTTGCCACATAGTGAGCACTTGTTAAGTTCTAACTAGTGTAACTGTCATCATAAGTGTCAATGACTAAATAATTACCTGGAGTAGTTTCTGCCACAGAGCATAAGCTTTATGTATTTATTAAAATGGACAGAGATGAATCTATTTTACCTGATTCCTCAGTAGGAGGAAGCAGTTGACATGGGTTAAGTTGGTCAAAGTCATGGGACTAGAACATCCCTCAGAACCTGTTCTGGTGTTTTTCCAGAAGTTGTAGCCCTTGATGGGAATGGGGACTATGACTCACCTGTTGAACAGTTACCTCTTTCCACATTTCCTTATGTAGTGCTTTTCAATCCTCGAACGTCCAATTCCATCTGGTTATCAGCCCGGGCTTCTACTGAGATGAACACAACTACGTGGACCTTTTCCTGATCATTTAGAGACCTTGAGGAAGTGCTATGCTCTGCCAACCTAATTGCAGTTTAGAAAGATGCCGTCTCTCCTCCCACTGGGAATTTTAGATCACCCAGATTTGTCCCTCTCCTTTGAGTTTCTGAAATAGTCCTGATTCTCACCTTGCAAAGATCTGTACCTTCCTCTAGTGTCCTTGGAACCATATTCCAGAGAGTGTGTGTATTTCTGTTACATAACCTCACAGGAGAAACACAGCACACATCTTATCTTAATTTAGTCCCCCGTGTCCAGGGGGCCAGGTCTTATGACAGAATGTGCTCATGTCATTAGGACAATGTTTTCTCTTTTCATCTGAATAACCTGTATTTTGTACATTTTCACAGAAAGTGTTTGTGTTCAGAGTCTGTTACTTTGATCCATCTGATAAGAAGCTCACTATCATTTGAATACACAGCTTGGGGGCCTGCCTGCTTTGCTTTTCAAGTACGGTACGTTCTTAAACACAAGTGAGATGAGAAACATATTGCACATCCCTTGGGGACTATTTAAAATGTAAAATATAAATATTTCCCCTTTGAATGTACTTAACTTGGCGAGGCCGTCTCTGGTTTGTGTTCTCTCAGTCATCACGTTGACACCATGTTTGCTAGGCTTTCATTTAGCGGAGTTGAAATGAGCTGGGGCAGCGGGCATCACCGCAGCCATCGGCACCGCCGCCCTTTCCTCCCAGCAGAGTCTGCGGAGGTTGCCAAGTCTCCTCTCATCACATAAGGCCTTTCAGAGAAGGTCAGCACTGCAGTAGGCCTGGCCTCGTGTTAGTGCTTTATGGTGACAGATACGCTGGCTCCAAGTTGCCTGGATTCTACGGAGGAAACTCACAGAAAAAATCAAACAACCAGGGGCCCTACATGCTCCCTCTCTTGGGCAGAACCTGGGGACTTGGGTACCAGAGCCTTGTTAGTCTGACTCAACACCACCCCATACTCCTTTCCTTTTTCTATGCTTCTCCTTAACCACTTTGATACCAGAATACCCTTCGGCAGCACTGGCTTTCTAAGTACTCCGACCTAGGACTTCATAAGAGCTGCTCCAGCAGGGTAGCCGCCTCACCCCCAATAGAGTAAGCAGTCCACCGCACAGCAAGAAGATATTGAGCTAAGGTGGAGGTGAGCAAGCAAGAAATACCACTGGCTAGGCCAACAGCTGTAGAGACTCCACGGGACTGGACTAGGCCCTCTGCATAAGCAAGACAGTTGTGTAGCTTGATCTGCTTAAGGGCTCCCCTGGCAGTAGGATCAGGATCCATTCCTGGTACACGAGTGGGCTTTTTGGAGCCCACTACCTATGGTGGGACACCTTGCACAGCCTTGATGCAGGGGGAGGGTCTTGGACCTGCCTCTACTCAATGGACCAGGGTCTGCTGACTCCCTGCAGGAGGCCTTACCATGTCCAAGGATGGAGTGATGGGTGGGATATGGGAGAAGGCTGGAGGGGCAGGAGGAGGGAAGAGAGAGGGATCTATGGTTGGAATGTAAAATGAATTAAAAAATTCCTTAATTAAAAAAAGAAAGAAATGCCACTGGCTAGTGGACAAGACCACTGCACATATTCTACACAATCCCCAGGACTGTCACACGAGAGCGGAGCAGGGCTGCTGTGTGAGATAATCTTGTCAGCTTGACAGGGTTGAATCACACAGGACACAAGACCTCTGCATTTACCAGTGAGGGAGTTTCTAGATTTGGTTGCTTGAGATGGGGAGACCAACATCCAATGTGGACAGCACCATTCCACAGGCAGGCTTCTTGACCGAATGAAAAAAAGAGAGAAGGAATTGCAGTGGTTTGAAAGAAAATGGACCCCAAAAGGAGTGGCACTATTAGGAGATAGGACCCTGCTGAAGCAGATGTGGCTTTGTTGGAGAAAGAGGCAAGATCTTCCCCCTCAGCTAAGTTTCCAACTTGTGAAATAGAATTAAAGAAAAGTTTAGAGTCAGCTGTGGTAGCACACGCCTTTAATCCCAGCGCTTTGAAGGCAGAGGCTGGCAGATCTCTGAGTTTGAGGCTAGCCTCTACAGATCCAGTTTCGGGACAGCCAAGCTTAGGCAGTAAAGGATAGAAAGCTGGTGTAGATGCAATTGAACTATGGGACCATATTCCAGCCCCAGCAAGCAGCATGATTTGACAGCTTTGGCCATGTGGTTCTGGCTTTAGAGTCAAAGATAGAAGAAAGGGATTATGGAATTTGGCCCCCAGACTAAGGAACGTTGCTAAGGCTAGTCATATGTCAGGGGTGTCCCTGAATGGAAGCCTAAAGAGGCCATTGCATGAAGCTGTGAAGTTGAAGCCTGGATTTCCTTGGAGATCTCAAGATATTGGAGATGTCAGAGCTGTGGGATACCTGCTGAGAAAAGCTGCTAACTGGGAGTGGAACCAGCCCAACAGAAAAAAGTGTGTTGCAGCCAACAAAGCTGAAAGGAGTTGGAGATTTGAAGAGTGTTTTGACATCAGACATGGAGATACACAATTTTGATTAGTTTCTCTTTTTCTAGCTCCCTGAAACAGTAACTTAGATAATTGATTTATTTTGTGTATATGTGGTATATGTGCATATATGTGTTTGAGTGTGTGCCCAGGAGTATGTGTACATATGCATAACTTTGCACATTTGTGTGAAAGTAAAAAATTAACATTAGGTATCTTTCTCAGTTACTCTGTACCTATTTTTTTTTTTAAGACAATGTCCTTTTCTGTACCTGGAGCTCATAGATATGACAAGACTGGTTACACACAAGCTGTGGAGATTTGCCTGTCTGTGCCCTCAGTGCCTGAGTTACAGACGTGTGCTGTCACACCAGGCTTTATATGTAGGTGCTAGGGAGCTGAACTCACTCTTCACATCTGTACAGCACCTTGCTGAGCCATCTCCCCATCCCTTGATTGCAGGTTTATTTTTTAATATCTATGAATTTAATAATGCAAACTTCACCTTAAATTCCTTTTCTTACACAACTTTACTGTTTTTCATTTTCTGAAAAGTATTTTATCTAGAGAGAAGTATGTTGCTTAATCTTCAACTGTTGAGGGACTTTCTCGGGAACTTTCTCCCTTCTTTGTAGGTTAATTCTATCATAGCCTGAGAGCAAACATTGTATGGCTCTTTGCTTTAAAAAATTTATTCATGTGTATTTTATGAATAAAACGTGCCTGTCTTGGTGA